AGAGGCGAGTAGTACAGAGTTTTACAAACATATAGCGAGTCGGTTGTTTTAAGACCGACACCCGCTAGCAATGCGGGATCTTTGATATCGAGTAAAGTAAAGAAAAATACATCTCTTAAAACAGTAGAAATTATCCACAAAAATTTTATTTTCCTTTACTTACTTTCATAATTAAATTATGAAAAAATATATATGTATTATATTTTCCATTGTTTTTTACTCCGGCTTTGTAATATAACCTCCTTAATATTAGGTATATTTGTCTGTTAATAATCGAAGGACGAAGATTTTCGACAATAGTTCGTTTTTTTACACCACTTTAGTGTAAAATTTTTCATAAAAGCGGCTTTTCCGGGGAAGCCGACCCTTCGTCAAATACATCAATTTTGACTAGTTCTAAAAAACTTTTTTGGTTTTTTGATTTGAGGAGGAAGGGTCCTTGGATCTAATCAGAAGTCTTTCTGGAGAGCAACTATGGGATCAAAGGAGTAAAAAATGTTGAAAAATTATTAAACAAAATGATAATGAAAATAAAAAATTACGAAAAATTGCGTATATTGGATTTTTATAAGAAATGCATTTTTATAAGAAATAATTAAGCAAGGTACAGTTAAAAGAGCTTGCTGTGGAGCCACGACCCATTCGATAACGCAAAAAGTCCCCTTTACACTTTACCTATTATCTATAAATACACATTTCTTTCGCTCCATAGTCAATTTATTAGTTACCGTCAAAGTGGTCACAGTAGCCACTGACGGGTTAAAGTACAACACTACAACCAAACATTCCCACTATTCAAAGTTGATTATGTGAGCACGTGAAAACAAAGCGCTTAAGTTGAAAATAATTCCCAAATGCTACATACTTTTCGTTTCGTTGGCATTTTGTTTGCTTATGCCTACCGCGGCACTGATTGCCTTTGAGCGTAGAAGACCAAAGTTATAGGTACAGAGGAATTGAGATACTTATATTTAGGTAGGTATATATAGCCAAATGCTGAGCATGCGCAAGTCGCGTTATTTGCCTTCCCTACCTTCTTTACCGTTCTTATCTTTTTTTATGTTTTTTTTTACATGAGGTTTCTGCTCTCCACAGTTATGGGTATATATATATATATATTCGTACATATGGAATTTCTCAACTTTTCACTTACCTTACCGACTGCTTTAATTTTACTCTCAGCTGTCTGCCGCTAGGCAATATTAAACGAATTACGGCTTATACACATACATATGGATGTATGCTTGCATATATTTATGTTTTTACTTTCAGTCATGCTTGTGGTATTTACTTGTGTTATGTCAAGACAGTAATGACAGATAATTTTTAATAAGAGATGTCAATTTGTGTTGGCATTACAACTGATATTTTTAATTAATTTGTACACTGTCCTCACCGGGGACTTGCATTTACACACATATGTATGTATGTATTTATATTTCAAAATTTAATAAACTTACTTAAAATTTAATGGATATATATTTATATATATTATAAGCGCTTGTACATACTAATGATACAGATATATACATATGTACATATGTGTTTAAGAATATAAATACATATGCATATTAGGGTGAGCACAAAAAAAAAAATTAAACTTAAATGAACTTTTCAACGTTTTTTTTTTTATATACGAATATTTGAATTTAAAAAAATCTTCCTGAAGTAGATTTTATGGGAAATTTTAAGCACACCTCGCGAGAAATTAAAACAAATATATAGTTAAAGATATACATACGTAGACATACTATATACTACTGTACCTTTAAACCAATATCTAATATATTCTTCTTTTTGAAGTGCGTAAACACCTCGGTTATAGCCGAGATAGGAGATTTCAAGTGTAGCCAGGTCCTTCTCCAACTGGTCTTTCCAACAGAGTGGAGGTCTTCCTCTTTCTTTGCTTCCCCCACTGCGTTGAAAACTCTCAGAGAGTGGTGTTTTCATTCACTTGGACGACATGAGCTAGCCAGCGTAGCCGCTGTCTCTTAATTCGCTGAACTATGTATGTCAATGTCGTTGTATATCTCATACAGCTCTTCGTTAAATTGACTGCGGTATTCGCCGTTCGCAAAGGGCCATAAATCTTCCGTAGAATCTTTCTTTCGAACACTTCTAACGCGGACTCATCAAGTGTTGTCATCGTCCATGCCTCTGCACCATATTGCAGGACAGAGATGATTAGTGACTTGTAGAACTTGGTCTTTCTTTGTCGAGAGAAGACTTTACTTCTCAATTGCTTCTCAGTCGAATTTATCCTTGGAAAGAGTTATTCCACATTGAATTTCGAGACTTTATTCTCTCTTGTTATTGCTCTATTCAAACCTATCCTTCTCGAATTATCTCCAGGATTATATTGAAGAAGTCGCACGATAGGGAGTCGCCTCGTCTATAACCTCGTCTGTATCGAAGAACTCGGAGGTTTCCCTCTCAGTCAGAAGGAGTTTACACAACCGGATTAGTTTTGCGGGGATAGCAAATTGAGACATCGCGCCATAAAGACAGCTCCTTTTCGTGCTGTCAAAAGCAATTTTGAAATTGACGTGTCTCGATCCAATTTTTACGCGTCTTTTCCAATATTTGGCTCATGTTGAAAATCCGGTCCATAGTAGATTTTCCAGGTCTAAAACCACACTGATAAGATATAATCAGTTTGTTGCCGGTGAACTTCAGTCTTTCACACAATACGCTCGATAGACCCTCATATGCGATTTTAAGTGGGCTTATCCTTATCCCACCGTAGTTAGCGGATATTGTGGGATCTCTCTTATTGTGGATTGGGCAGATCACATTTAAATTCCACTCGTCGGGCATGCTTTCGTCTGACCATATTCTACAAAGGAGCTGATACATGTGCCTTATCATTTCTTCGACGCCGTTTTTGAATGGCACGACCGCCAAACCGCTTTATTGTTCTTTAGACATATTGTCCTTTTCGAACTTCTTCATGGTTTGGCAATGGAACGTCTACTCCATTGATATCTCTAATAGTTTTAGTGTTACAGCTTTCTGAAATGTCCGCTCAGTTTAATCAGTTTCGTCAGTTTAACTTTAAACATATTTTTTTCGAAGCACGTTTTTAGGATTTAGGGCGCAAATGGTTAAAATCTAAATGTAGTTCTTCATAACATGACTTAGCAGTTTTTTCTGAAAGAGAATTTTGAGTAAAATTTAATTCAAAAAATAAAAAAGCGGTGATATTTTGTTAATTTCAGAGGACAGAAGGACGGTCGTCCTTGTACGAAGATTTTTTAGTAAATATTTCATTTTTTTTAGGTTTCATTCACGAAGAAGACCAAAATCACTGAAGTAGCGGAAGACCTTTTTTTAGCACTGTCAGAGACCCGCCTGGTTTTCTGTTTGTTAAACAAAAGTTAAGTTGATAGTACCCTTAATATGGGTACCTCGAGCAGAAAGATGTATTCAGTGGAGCTGTGGAAAGCGATATTTGTAAAAAATCTCCATGATGTATCGCTAGTATAGTATAATACAACTTGTTCAAAATCTTCGTTTTCATCATCAGCGTACCCAAGGACAGCTTGAGTATTTTGTCAGCTCTTCACTTCTTGATTCCTCTAGTTGTTTCAGTGTCAGCATACAAAACTCGTAAAATTGGACTTGGACGGATTTTCATTCTTAAAATGTTGCTACCTCGAGTTCTTTGTTGTGACTATGCCACTATGTAGATAAGACTTAAGAGAATTTTTCCGGATTCTAACGATACTTAAGGCATTATTTCTGCCCATTACTTTCGTTAGAGTTCTTAATTGAAATAAAAAAGGGTAAAAGAAAGCTGAAGTGTATAACTTTTGTAGATTTTTTCGACTCTTTTCAACAAAGATCTCACTTAGTCTACTATTATTCAAATCAATAAAATTTATAATTTTTTAATTTCAGGATTATCGCTGTTCTTGTGGTGGATTCGCATAAAGGTAAATTTTACTTAGTTGAATTTGATCTATCATAAGGTTTAGTAGACTCAGCGTGATTTTAATTGTATCTTTAAAAGGGGTTTCCCTTGAAATTTTTTGATGATTGCAATTACCAGATCTTGATTACTTTACTTCTGCATTATATTCTATGATATGCAAATTTAAAAATATTAATTATCTGGCAGCATACCGCTGGTAACAATAAGCTGTTGCTAATGTCAACAAACTTGAAAACACTACATACATTTTAAATTAAACTAAAAACATTTTAATATGCATAACCCATAATTTAAAGAGGGATAGATAGAATTTATTAAAAAATATATATATGTACTTTGTATATAAGTTGAACTTCCATAAATCGAACTCTTGAATTGGCGATCACAATTTTGGAAAAAATCTGTCTTCTTTTGTTAAATGTTCTCACAAAATTGCTGTTGTACTTGCAACAATATGAAATAAATTGTATTCTTTCCTATATAAAATTCCGAAACTTTAAATTTAAGTTTTTTTGTTTTAAGAAAAATAAATCCGAAAATTGTTTCATTTACTATATATCTCAATGAACTATACAAAGCGAGCGCTAATTATGCAATTAACTTTAAGAAGTAAAATAATTCGAACTTATTTTCAGTCATGTGGCAATGCTTTCAAACGGTTAAGATCCCGTTCCCATTCATAGTGATAAAATAAAAATAAGAGACAATTTACTTGAACAGAGCACTGTACACTGAAAACTGCATAATTTTCTTTACAATAATCAGCATAACAAACGCAGAACAAAAATTCCTCATTTCCAATAGTAAAATGTTTTCGAAAGTTTTATATGGCAAACATTTATTTACGGCTTTATTTACGCACAGCTGGTTAAACCAACCGTACACAACAGTTTGAGAGCTAAGGTAGGCTTTTAACAAGCGCTGTATAAACAAAACGCAACATGTATTTATCTCACTTGCACACACGCTCGCGTGCTTTGAAAACAACCACCACTAAATGTCACAGCAAACAGATAAGGGCAAAGAATTCCCAACTACTGTCTGTTTTTTCAGTTGACAAGCGCGTTGTGAATTTTTGTGTAGTTTTCGTTTATTCTCCGTTAAAATTTCGCGTTTTCAACCAAATAGCGCCATTAAAATTGTGTAAAATTTGTGCAAGTGCAAATTCGATGCGAAATATAAACATTAGCGTTAGAAAATCGTGAAAAACAACGCACGTGGGCGTTAAAAACAAGAAAATCCAGTGTGGCTGATTGGAGTGAGGCGGCTTTTCCAATTGGTAACGTTCCCACTGGCGGTGCGTGTTTGTGCATGTGTGTGCAGGCGAGCGCCTGTTTTTGACAGCTAAAAAAATCGATTTGTTTACATGTTAACTATAAAGAATTTCTAGCATTTTAATTGTAGCAAAAGTGATTTGAAGAAAGTTTGCAGTTTTTCGAATGTAAAAAAGTGCATAGCAGTGTAGCTTTGATGAAAATTTCGGTAAATAACGGCGCTTAACCGGCGTATTGTGTTGTTTTTGTATCCTGGCTGCTGACCCTAGCCGGCACAGCGGAGCCACTTGCGACGCTGACTGTGACTGTGCCGTCGACGTCTGTATTTGTTTGTGTAAATAGTACGCTTTTGGTCAAAATAGCAGTTATATTCATCGATTGCAGCGTATTTTGCAAGAATTTTGCTCAATTTTAGTGCAATGCTTTAAAAAGCAGCCAGCTTAGTGTAAAAAAACGAATTTCAACTCACAATTTGTTGCGTTGACGCCTTTGGCCAGCAACAAAACAAAATTTACCTGGTGTGTGGCAGTAAAGTGTGGTTGCGAGTAGTGTATAGCCACCACCAAGCAGCATACATACGCTGTTACAGATGTACATAGTGTTGTGTATGATAATATGATGAAAATAGTATCCAGTAGGCAATTTAATAAAACCAGTTTGATAAGTAAAGCGAATTTTGTGTTCTCAGCTTGTGCCACTGCGCCCCGTTTAGAGTGTTAAATACATTAAATCTGTGGTTTGTCAAAAAAGAAAAAAAAAGTACACCACCGTAAGTGTAGCGCGCGTTTTGTGTAAAATTGTTTCATTTGAATCGAAGCCCACACGTTACATATATAGCGTGTTTGTATGTATGTTCACATGACGGGCTCAAAGCCTCAGTGTTAACATTTGTTTGTGGACTATGCTTTGTGTGGTTTCAACGCCGGCTGTGTTCTACGTGTGTTGCAGCAATATATTTTGATTATTAAAAAGGTATGTACGTGCCCACATGTGTGTAATCATATATTGGTGGCATAAATCTGTTTGCACATAACAAAATAATAGTTTTTATGTTTGAAACGACATGATCTACCTATAAAAAATTGGAACAGCTATGTCTAGTGCCATTAAAAGCAAAGATACATTTAATTGTTGGCGATGCAGCCGTTCTTTATGTGAATCTATGCTTGTTATCTTATCAGTTTTTAAATAATTCACCTGCTTGGTAAAGTGTGTGGCACTAAGAATAAGTAATAACAACTATCACATTGTGTGTAAATTGATATCTATAGTAAATGCGTGTAAAACATTAAACCAGTATGATCTTATCATATTTAAATCCACATTTTATTATATAAGGTTGTCAAATACATATCTCCCTTCCGCTTGTTTGCTCTTATTCAATGCTTTATAAAAAGTGTTACAAAAATCGGCTTTAGTTCTAATATGCACCGTTTGGTTCGTTAATCTATAGTATTTCCATCTATACGGCAACTTCATAATACCCCCTCGGACAGACACTTTTCACAAGCCTTTTTTGAGTTCAACTTTACACCAACAAGGGTGTCCGCCATGGACAGGAACAGGTGGTAATCACTTGGCGCTATGTCCGGGCTATATGGTGGATGCGATAGAACTTCCCATCCGAGCTCCCGTACCTTCTGACGAGTCATCAACGAAGTGTGTGGTCTGGCGTTGTTCTGGTGGAACACTACACCCTTCCTGTTGGCCATTTCTGGACGCTTCTGAATAAACGCCTGCTTCAAGCGGTCCAGTTGTTCGTAATAGGTGGTAGAATTAAGCGTCTGGCCATATGGCTGCAGGTCATAGTGAATGATTCCCTTCCAATGCCACCAACCACACAGTAAAACTTCCCTGGCCGTCAATTCCGGCTTGTCCACTCTTTGGGACGATTCACCGGCCTTCGACCACGAACGGTTTCGAATGATATTGTCGTATGCGATCCATTTTTTGTCTCCAGTCATCATCCGCTTCAAAAATAGGTCGAGTTCCTTCCGTTTCAGCAGCATATCGCAGGCGTTGATTCGGCCCAGAAGGTCTTTTTTTCAAATCATGCGTCACCTAAACATCAAGCTTTTTTGTGTATCCAGCCATCTGCAGATGGTTTAAAATGGTTTGGTGACTAACTTCCATCTTCTGGGCGATGCCACGAGATGCCAAATGCCGGTCTAACACGATGTTTTCAATGATTTGATCGGTATTCGTCGTCACAGGTCTTCCGTCGGCTGGCTTATCCATTCATTTCTCCGCAGTTCGAAGTGATAGAGTGCCATCCCCCAAAACACCATTAGGTGAAAAGCTTTAAAATAGCGAGAATTTCGGCATTAGTCAACTCCATGTATACACGTTTATAACTTTTGAACGCAATATGCAAACTAATCATGCATAGCTTCGTTTTGTAGGTTATGTTAAGACCTTTAAAAGAAGTATATTACTGCCAGATACGAGCTCTGTAGCGCTTTATACATAGCCTTATACCTAGCCGCGAAATTCAAAAGACAAAAAGGCGGTAGTGAGAAATTTGACAACCTAATACTGAAATCTAACGAAGCGCGATCTTAACATAAGCAGGGAACTAAAAACTATATATTTTTTTAATTTTTATTATTAAAAAATATAAAAAATATATTTATCACACGATAACATCAAATTTCGGCTTGTATTATAAGTGTAACAAAAATTATAATTATATAATCCACAGATAATAATAAATTAGTATATTTTGCAGTGTGGAGTAATAATAATCTGTCATTACACTGCGTTTTATTAATGATTTTTGCAATTTATGCAAATGATATGTGATACAGTTCTAATTGACATGTCGCCCTTGCAAATTTGTACGTGACTAAATATACATATATATGTAGTTTTGTGCCACGAAATATCTAAATTTAAATTAAACATAATATTCATAACTAACCGCATTGGTTAGATTTAAATAAAAAATTGACCACTCAATTAAAATCAATTTCATTCAGTGCCGCAAAGAATCACTTGCATTAAATACAATTTCCATTTTTACTGCACTTCAATTACATATTCGTGGTTAGAATTCGGTGTACCGTCAAAATATAAAAAATTTACAGCTATTGAAAATTTATTAAAACTATTAAATTATCTTTGATATAAATTGGTTGGAAATATGAAATTTGCGTACAAATGTGTTCGACATTTTTTCGCATATTTCTTGTTGCTCAATTTATGTTTCCATATGTTTCTGAAATAAAACAAAAAATAACCCCGCTAATTATGCAAACAAATAACACTACTTACAGAGACGTATAAATTTGTATTTTTTTGATGATAATATATTAATTGCTAGTGTACCAGAGGAGTTTGATGGAATTAATTTAATTTTTAATTTTTGTATATTAAAAAGTAGTTCAACAAGTAAGGAAGGGCTAAGTTCGGGTGTCACCGAAAATTTTATACTCTCGCATGATAAAGTGATAATCGAGATTTCAGGCGTGGTTGTGA